CACCCCTAGCCAGAGCTCCCCGCTTGCAGTGTGGTTTGTGCATATAGCTGCGTGCGATATGTTGTCTCTGTGTGTGTGTGTGTGTGTGTGTGTGTGTGTGTGTGTGTGTGTGTGTGTGTAGCTGTTTCTATAGGCCTGGTGGGGAACACATCTAAATACTTTTGTGAACATGTATGTGTTTGTGTGTCGGATGTGTTTATGCGTGCTCTGTGTTTAGCTGTCCGCGTGCTTAACATGTGCCGGACAAGAGGTGACCCGAGATATTTGCTTCCCGAATGTATTGTCTTTTTATTGTATTACCCCGAAAGCAATACACGTCTCCGAAGCTGTGATACCACAGGGTAGGGAGAAAACAAAACACATTTATCCTGGCTTATTTTATGTAAATGATTCCGTTTCCAAAGGGGATGGGGGGGGGGGGTAATCTGGAGCAGGTGTTCTGATTTAGGGCTACTGCTTGAAAGACGAATATCACCAATTGTGCACTTTTTTTCACCCTGGATGCCAACTGCTCCCTCCTCCTCCCCTCCCCGAATCTTGTGAATTCTTTGGAGTCTGAAGAAATTCGCTAAGACAATTCATTTTCCACTTCATAGGCAATAAGTGCGATAGGTCAGCCGGTGCAAGAATAATAACAAACAATAAAGGGCACGGAATAAAAAAAGATGCTGTTTTATGAAGTGAATTTACGAACATACCTGCCTGTCTGCAATGGTGGACGGGGGTGACTGGGACTAAGGGGCTGCCTTCCATGACTGGAGTGGGAGAGAGTGTGGGGGAAATGGAAATCCTCAATGGGAATCCCAGACGGCTGGGGATACGAGTGCGCGTGCTGTCTCCCCCACAGAACGCTGCTCGGGATTTCAGTCGGCGTGGGCAGACAGTTGCCTTCCAAGCCACAACACCACTTACGTGACACCCGCGCTCTGCTGTTCCACGTTTCAGGGCTGTGGGACTGGAGCGCGTGCGGCCTCGCACTGCCCCAGAGCTAGGACTGAGGGGCAGGTGGGTGGATCTGAGGAACAACGATCCAGCCTGCTGCCTCGAGGAAGCGGCCCTTTGATAATGTCTAGAGGGGGGGAAATGTCAGGGCCAATACGTGCACATAAGGCAGAAGTCTCTCCGGGGAATAGCATATGGCCAGGCAGTGATAAAACATTTTCAGGGAGGTTTGGACTAGATCCACGAAGTTCTGTGTTGGCTTCTGTGGATGTCTAATACATATGACAACATGCCTAAGTGTATTATCTGAAAAGTATGAAAGCTATTATTCATATAACTACCGGCCCGGGCCCTGCGATTCCCAGTATGTCAATCAATCAATCAAGTCATCAGGGAGGAACTATGCCTGAGTGAAGATTGCAGAGCTGGGCCATACTTTGCACAGGTATATATATACATACATATAAACATATGGGCTCAATTGAATATGCAATGTATGCAACAGATGGATGTATGCTTACAGATTAACGCTAAATAATAAAAACAATGTTCACAGATGGTGCTCATTGCAAGACAAAAAATACTACAAGCCTTCAATTGAAAAAGGTATTGCATTGAATAGGCTTGTGAGTAGAGAAAGGGTAGGGTACTTCTATGTACACCCAGGAGTGCAGAAACTGCATTGGGAGAAAATGAACATGCTTGTACATTGCGTTGATGTTCACATGTATTTATTTTGTGTTCGAATGTAATGCTATATTAATGCACTGATATTTTTCTAAAGGCATTGGACACTATATTCGAAAGCGCCTTCGGGGCAAGTCCAATTTTCTTTCAATGAAGACTTCAGCTTTTGGGTCACTTTATAAAATTGTACCCAAGAACTGACAACTCAAGAACCTAATCCTGACAATACAGGCGATTCATTCTGAAGTATGGCTGTGACCACGTTCGTGATGTCACTGATGGTGTATACTCGTGTGCATCAGTATTTTCAGGATTGCACCCGCCTTTTGTTAATTTGTTCTTTTCTTATGTTTTTCAAAACCCAAACATTTTTTTAAATAAATTTGCTGTACGATCAATATATTTCTGAAACCCTTGCCGGTCTCCGATATCCTCCTCCTCATCTTCCTCACCGCCACAAGCCGGGCATCAACTTGGAACACCTGGAGAATATAGAAAAATATGTTGAACATTCGATGCTAGGTTTAATGAACGAAACCTACAATCGTTTTGCTTTGCTTGGAAATTTGGGTCAAAAATTGTGTGTACGAAACCGTTGTAACAAATTTGCGCCCTGCTGATTTTGAAGCAGCAGAAAGGAAACCAGGAGCAATAGTTTTCAGCCTAATTTGGAGAAAAAGCCCTGGGAAAACTCTTCAGACACTCATACCCGCAAGGGATCTGAACGGGGAAAAGCACATTCATGACTTTTCTTCAAGGCAAGCAAGTGCATTGCAGGAGCTTACAGGCACAGATGATGTATGTGTTTTAGATTATGGAAGGGAAAAGAAAAGAAAAAGTGAAGTGTTTTCCTTCTGTTGAAGTAGAGGGGAATGATTTTCTTGCGATAGATCCATAGGTAGAAGTGTGTTTTTGCTCTTGTGTTTCAGTAACAATTCATCATTAGAAAAGTACTGAAATAAAGAAGGGAATAAAATGACAATTTAAAAAAATGTTGTGTGTGTCCAGTGGTCTAGCTTGTTCATTGGTGCTCTAACTCAACAGCCAACTATGATAATCAGAATAGGCAGGGAGGTATCTCCTTTATGCTTCTTCGGAAATAAAGGACTCGGGTTTATTTCTGAAGTAACCTATCGGGCATACACCCAAACACTTAAGAAAACACTAAAATCAAATCCAGACCTGAATGTACTAAGGAAATCTATAATCTCGACTTGCTAAGTGAAGAAATCATTCGTCAAAGTTACTTCGAACACGAATTTGTAAAGTGTTCCTTGGAACTTTTCTTCCTTTCTCAGTGATAGCCGTGGAAATAGTCTCCTTCCTCCCCCCCAACACACACACACTTGTCAGATAAATCTCAGTGTTTCTATCCTTCTAAAGGATTCCAGGTTTGGCGCGAGGGAGAAGTGAATGTAATTTCAAAAGACGATTTATACAGCCCAAACAATGGAAACCATAACACGAGATGACTTTAGAAAGTTGTCGGGAGGGATTTAGGGACCACAAACACATTTTTTCGTAACCATACAATATGGAAACTCTTAAAGAGCTGTATCTGCAGACATCTTGCAATGACTGGTCTTCCTTGTCATCTGGAGGAGAAAGGGTAAAATATATTAACTGAAGACACAATCTAAAATTACTTATACATTTTAAACATGCTGGCAGAGGTAACTGCCTGAAAGATTTCCTTCTTCTGGGGTAAATTAGTTCAAGTCGTTTCACAAAGCGCTCTCTCTCTCTCTCTCTCTTTCTCTCGTGTCTGTCTCCTTTTCTCTCTTTCACGTTTTATAAACATTTTAATTTGAAATACAAGAAAATCCTTCACACAAATGCCAACATTCAGATTCTTTCAAGAAGAATACACCGGATTTATCATATGACATATATATAGACCCAATCCTGTAAGCAATGTGGTCTAATGAGAAAAAAGTATTCACCTGAATAACTTTACTTACATGTGCAAGAAATGTTCCCAAGACACAGACCCTATTTCCGCATGTGAAGATTGTGGATATGTACACATACATGTATATGCACATTATCTACCATCATATGTATGCCATGTGGTTACATGTTATACATGTGTGTGTCCAAAATACACTTACGAGAAAATGTGGTTTTTCTCTGCAAATGAATATTCTATCCAAGACAACTTTGCCCAGACCAACAATTGAAAAATACATGCTTCTTTGAAAACTGCCTCTATAAACAACTAACTGCATTCTAAATTTGTACTTCAAATAATGAATCTAAATTCTCAAATATTTTCCTTCATTAATGTTTAAGGGCTTTTTTTATTGGAATTTCTAGTAGAGAACAGTTTAAAAGCAGGAATTGCTTATTTTCTGCCTCTTTTAACTTTGTAGCAAAGTTCCTCAGAATCTCTTGGAAAATATCTTTGAGGGAAAGTGATTGAACGGAAAGCCCTTGTTTTGTGCCCACAGCTGTACAATGTACTGGCATTTGTGAAGGGCACGGTAATGCAGCGTATAAGGACATTTTTCTGTCTTTATTAAATCATATATGTTTGAATAACGCCTACATAGAGAGAGATGTAGGCTAAGGCAGGGACAGAAAGTGGTATCTAGCATATTGTACCAAACATTGTGGGTTGTATCAACTGGTTCTGCACTAGGGACGAGGGGAAGAGGCGAGTAAGGCGTTGTGAGATTAAAAAAAGATGGTCCACTCTAGATTTCCTCACTTAGGGGCTGATCCCGAGCCCATTGAAATCAGTGACAAAAGGCCCCATTGACTTCAGAGGCGCCAGTCGCATGAGTGCCCCCATGATTTCCATGGGGGCTATTCCTGTGCATAAAAAGAGCCCGATCCAAACCCCATAAAAGTGCATGGGAGTCACTACTTACTTCGGTGGGCTTCGGATCTGGCCCTAACTCAAGCGTGCCAGAATCGGGCTTTTGCTTTGTCAGCTTTATTCCCACCCTGCACCTCCATTTAACCCCTTTCAATTGCCAGCGTGTACATAAAAAATCCCCCCGGTGGGTCTTCAGGCTGCTTTGCATTGAACAAGAGGATTAAAGAAAACCTCTTTCAACTCTTTCAAGCTGAAATGATGTTGGTGCGATGAAATGCCCTTCTGTGTTTAACATTTCCAATGATCATTTGTTTCATTTGCTACATTAGCCCTTTACGAGAGCGCCTTTCGCCCGGGCATGTTGATCAGACTCACTTACGTAATATTTTCTTTGGGATAGATTCACTCAGCCTACTACATATCAATGATTTCTCTACAACTTCGCTGCACACCAGCTGCCTTGTTATCTGACCTTGCCCAAAAGCCAGTGATGGAGACGATGGCAACATACAAAAACCTGTAGGGGAACACTTCAATCTCCCTGGACACACAATTGCACACGGAAGTGTTGCTAGGAAGCGGCGCCTGTACGCGTCCCTGACAGTGGTTTAAGGGGGCTGTAATAGAGTTCAGAGGGTATTTGTTGTGACTGAAGGATCAGGCCCAGATGTAGACCAGGTGATTTTCCTTTTTTGAGAGATCACCGCAACACATGGAACCAGCTTTTATAGCAGAAGGCGAACCGCGTACAAAGTGCCTCCCTCCCCTAAAAGGAGAATAAAAGTTCCACAACCCTTCTTCATCCAAGCGGCCCCCCCGATTCACCTTTCGGGGTAGAGATTTGCCCCTATTAGCGATCAGGCTGGCAAAACACTGCCCCTCAAAGAGCCAACAGAATTAGTTTCCTCCCGGAGTGAGCTCAAAAGTGCGCCCAATCCTTCCTTCCAAGCGCAAATATCCGGTGGGCGCACTTAACTGTGCGCTCCGCTTTTCTCAGTTCCAACCAGTTTGCGCGCTCCTACCTCCGACACTAGGCGCTGGCAGAATGGAGAGAATGCGCCTTTACAATTCCCCTGATGAGTATATATGTATATACACCCCGGCCTCTGCTTTCTCCCTGTGCATCCAGTTCTCACAGATTCCAGCTACCGCCATGCCCAAAGGGAAGGTATATCTGGGGAGGGCGTAGGGAGAGCCCTTTTCATTTGACATAACTTTATGGTGAGTTTTATCGGGATCTTACATCGTAAACACGCTGCCAGAGCCGGCTTGTATTTGCCAACATTTGAGGGGATTTCTTTCCTGTAATTCCAGCAGCCTCAGGCGTATACAATCTCTGAGTGCAGCTCTTTTTTAATCCCTCCCCTCTCCTTCGCCCAGCAAATACTTTCCCGAGCAAAAGTCCTGTCGGCATATGGGTGCGTTCAGTCACCAGATATTTCCGAAAGAGTTGAGTCTATAATAGCGACCTACCTGCTAACGAGGGCAGGAGAGAGAAACCTTGTACGTTGTGGACAGGATCCCAAAACACGCGCGTGAGAAGGTTCGGGAAATGGAGGAGAACCCTGCCTGGTTCTGTCTCGCCCTGTCTAGACTCTGGTGTTCCGTGTAGACCTACAACGGATCCTTGATTTCGTGGAGCCCCGCTCACTGGTTGCTTGATACAACGTGCAGGGAGGGGATTTGTGTAGAAAGCCGGATTTGTGTAGAAAGCCGGATTTGTGTAGAAAGCAAGTACACACACACTACTGAGTCAAACGTAGACCCAGGTCTGTGAGGCCTCACCAGCGTTCACAGCAGAGTTTATACCTACACCACATCAGCTCTGGGCACGCGAGTATTCCCACGTTCTTTTCACACCCGTATCGCCCTGTTTGCGAGCAAGACTGGGGATTGTACAGTGCCTGGCGTAAAGGGGCTCTGTCCTGCATTTTGGCTCTACCCTACAGCAACCCAAATAATAACGAAATATATCACATGCATAATTTACAACGTCCCCCACCCATCCTATGTTTAATGTGCTTTCAACTAAGCGCAATGTTGTAAAAGTTGCAACCACCTGTTAATCTAGCCCCTCCTGTAGCCATTATTCTATTGCCTGAAATTGATCGCTGGGTCACATCTTGTTCTACTACACAGGTGCAAATACAACATATTCTGGATTTACACCGCTGTTCCGGCCCGGGAAATTGAATTAGGTTTATGTAGCCCTAAGCAGTCATACTAGAACTTGACGTTCTTCAGTGCCTACCTTGAAGAACATTCAGTGCCAGGGCTGGTCTGTAAATTAGGAGAACTTTAGTCTTATCATAGAAAATACGTGAGCCCAAGTGTGTGTGGCTCATAGAAACAGAAAAAAACTTTACAGCCGCCTCGTGGTGTTATAGGGTCGAGCTCTCCTGTCTCCCGCATAAAAGCCTCTCCTTTCCACCCCTATGCAATAAAATGCGTGTGACAGACAAACTCATAATTTCACCACAATTTCTCTTCTGCGGGACTCTTGTGTCTTTCAGTTTGGCTGTTTACATATTTTTTACCCTTCCTGCTACACACGCTTGGCTAGACATTCGGTAGACGAGGGTTTCCAAGCCTACGGGAACAATCATATTATTTTTCAGTTAATCCAGTCTGGATCATAGCACAAAATTTCGATCCCGAAGG